ACTTATTGGAAACTCAAGACAGCCATAACATTATGATTTTTTACAAGTGTATGTACACTTTTGACCACAACTGTATACCTATAAAAAGCAAAATCAGAGAAACTGATAATTTTTTCTGTGGTCTCTTAACTTTTTCCAGAGCTAGATATATTAGAAATTTGCAAAGTCTAGCTTCAAAATAAATTAAAACGTTTACACCCAATCCTTGTTTTCAAAATTCATGAAATCATTGGTTTGTATAAAATAGAATAATGGTTTGAGTTTAAATAATTGCTTTAAAATACCAAATGAAGTAAAAATGTGTTTTATTTACTTTCAAAAGGCCTGCTTTATCACTGAAGCTACCGGGAAATGTTCAGATTTTCATGCTCCCTCTTGTTTTACCTCACAGGAAATCATTGATGGTTTGGCAAAGAAGAACCATGTGACGGCGTTCCTCACGTCACCAGGAGCCGTAGTGCAGGCGGTGTTGCGTCGCGACAACAAGCTGTCCGCCAAGTCGGATCCTCGTAAAGGGGGGTATGCTGCCGGGTACTGAGGCCATAAATCCTTCACTGATTATGACATTGCAGTAGCTGTTTGGACTTTAACATCTTTCACACAACATTAGAGACGAGAGACGAGGAACTCAGCGAAGCCAAACGACCATCGTGACTCAGCGGATTTTGTACAAACTGAGTTATGTTCGTTGTTGTTGTTGTTTTTTTTTTTGTTTGTTTTTTTTACAAAACAGCACTTTTGTTAATTCTAATCTCTTCTTTATTTATAGACAACTTAATTTATTATCAACCCCTTTTTTTAAATGTAGTTTTACAGTTTTGTTCTAAATCCAGTGTAATTTAAAAATTATTATTTGTGTTGTTCTTTCTGAAATCACTGGCACCACTGAGCTGCTATCGAGCCGCTTTTGGTTGTTGAATTGTAAGAAAAGGAATAACAAAGGGCTCAGACTGTAACACCTCAGGGACAAGCCTTTCCAGGAGACAAAATAATGTAATCACTCACAATAATTTGCTAACACCCAGAGTGCAGCGACCTACAGTGACCTCATCTCATTATATTTGCTGCTTCTTCTTACAACTACGTCTTTCATCGGCTGAACTAGGGAGTATTAGGAAGCGCTCCTATCACTTTTGTTTTCTTCTTGAGATCACAAAGCTATTTTACAAGAACACTGTAGCATATCAGTTCATAAGTTAATATTTTCTTCTCATGGGCCTCCTGTCAAAGAAATAAGAGACATGCAGGCCAAATGTTTTCTTGTGCGTTAAAGGGACAGTACGTCTTTTAGAGGTTCTGGGAGGTTGCTGCGAGTGAGAGCTCACCTAGTTGTCGTAAAATGTCACGCAGCCTTGAGCTGGGTAAGAGTGATTCATCCTCAGGGAGATGGAAAGCTTTAGCTGACTTTAAAACAACTCAGTCAGAAAATGTTTACGTCTGTGGGATGAAACGCTGTTTTGGTGGGCATTAACTGTCTCAGCTCTCACTGTCAGGACTGTCTCTGTTTCTCAGACATAGATTGTTGATCGAGGCAGGCAGTCAGCTGTATCAATTAGTTTGATTGTTAGCTCACCAGGATTAGACCTGGAGGAGCGCAGTTGTTGCATAAGGGATGAAATGATGAATGGTTCTCATTATTGCCCATTGTTAATGCCAATGGTACAATGATACAGCTGAGAAATTATTTAGCAATAATTCAATGACAACTACTGCAGCTGATAATGAAAATATTGGTGTTGATAAAAGTATTCAGGTTTCGCTGTCAGGGAATTACCTTCAACATATTATAATATAATATAATAACACTATTTTTAACACATTTTTATCCTGCGCATCTTTTGTCTGAAGGCGTCTGTTCAAACTCCAGGTTGTAACATAATCAGTATGTTTGTTTTTTTTCTGAATAAATACATTACAGAATAAATATATCAAACTGTTTTGTAGAACAGTTGCTGTTATGTGATTGTTAAAAGTTACTAGAAGTTTCCACTGTTCAAAACTGATTTTGGGCAGCATCATGCTGGCTTTGGGTGTGGTTGACGTTTTGGATTTTTCATTTTGGATTAAAACAGGGAAATACTTCCAGGACTTTGTTTTGTCCTTTGAGGATATGGGACTCTTTTGCAGACATTATTCTCATTAAAAAAGAACGGGAATTTTTGGACGTTTAATAAATTAGGAGTTTTTTTTTTTTTGCTGACATAAACTGAGTGATTTAAATCTAACCTATAATTATTTTTGAGGGATTTTTGGTTACTGATCTATTTATCAGAAGAAATTATTTCCTAGAATTGTGGTTTTTTGAATAAATCATTGTTGCTAAAAATCAACAAATTTTATATGGAGTGGTTGGATATTTATTTTCTTATCAAATTAAATGGAGTAACATATTTTACGTGATATATATATTGTGAGTTCTGCTTTAAATCAGGCTGAATCTTCTTACAAGGCTACAACTGAGCAAACTAAAGTCACAAAAAATATATTTAAGTTAATATCTCATGATGACAGGCATGATAAAAAAGAAATACACATATATCGCAACTATATTTATGAATCTTCTACATGTTAAGAAAAATAACAGAAGTAGGAGCTTCTTAAAGAGACAGAGGCCTAATTTCAATATGTGACACATATGGCATTTTTAAAACAACTGAAGGTAACTTGATCATGCTATTAGGGAAACACTATGAGGAAATGCATAATACTGCATTTTGATATAATATTGAAATGCTAAATAGTTGGGGACTGTGAAAGTAACAACCTGTCGCTATTTGTCCAATGCTGCTGCTGTGGCAAAGGTTTTGGGGGCACTGACATCATTTTATGTGAATATTTTTTTTCTCTTGACTCCAGAGCAAAACTCTCAGAATTTTTGTTTGTCTTTTGACTAAAAAAAAAAAAAAAGTGTTTCTTTTAATAGCCCTGGATCGTTTTCTAGTTTGTAACCATCAAGGTCGGCTCACATGAGGAGCGAGTGCTGCTCTGGTTTCTGTAGCTAACTGTTCAGAGACATGTGGAGACATTCCCATGAACATTTCTCAGAGCTGATCTGGACACGTTCCACTGGGAGGAGGATTTGGGGCAGACCCAGGACTAGCTGGAGCTCATATATCTCTTGGCTGACCCCATGATGAGGCCCCCAGCAAGAGCAGAAAACAGGCAGCAGGAGAGAGAGAGCGAAAGCTGCACAGAACTGCTGACTGTTCCCAACAGGAAGGCTTTCTTACTCTCAAATGTGACAAATGTGAAGACATGATTGGTTTAATTATGAAAGGAGAACATCTATGTAGTAATAAATAAAACTCCGTAAAATCAGATGTGTAGTTATACATTGAGTTTTTTTTTTTTTTTAGAAAACAGGAGCTTTTCTCAGAAATCAATTCCCCAGACGTCATATGAGAAATCCCTCCCCCCTGAGAGGCACCACCTGAACTTCACTGCAGTAATCCCCCCAATAAATAAATGCAATACGCCTTAAAATAAATCAATCTTTAATTGCAGTTGAAAAATATCACCCTGAAAGATTTGGTTCAGTGAGTTTATAATGTTTTTTTTCATCCCTTAAGCTGCTGGAACACTGTAGATGTTATGTGTGTCTAGAAATCTGTGCCGATACTCTACACACAAAGAGAAAAACTATTAGCGACGGCTAAGTTTGACTCTATTTTCGTCTCCGTTTATTTTTTCAGGAGTTAATCAAGTTGCAGGTACAAGATGTTGAAACAAAATGCTGAAACCAAGTCCCACAGCTTCATCGTGCTCCATTTCTTTTCTTTTTCGTAGAATTCATCAGTGACCTTGTCAAAGCACACTGAAAGTTTCCTTGAAGGGCCAATTAGGCGCAGTTCAACATCCACATACTGTAGTTATAATGAACAGAGTTGTGCAACTATAATAGGTCAAATTATCAACCCTGCAGGCATAGGGAAAAAAGAAAAATAAAAAAAGCTGCAGTCTCCAAGTATGTGATTTAAACTTGAGTCATTGCTTTGGACTACATCCAGGCAGATTAAAATAGCGACACACGTGCAAAGAAGTACGTACAAAAGCATAAAACGGCTGTTGTTGGAATAATTCGCTTCATCAAAATGGCTACGAGGGTAAAAGTATACAGAGTCATCAGCGGAGCATTTAACTTCCTGCAGTTAACGTGAAAATCGTCTGTGGATTTTAAAGCTATTGTTTGTTTTTACGCCTGACAGAAAGAAGTTGGTGTTATGACACTAAAGCTGTAAAAGCCAAAGCTTATCGAAATTAACTCATTTGTCATTCAACAAAGACAGAGACACTTCACAAAGAGTGAAATTTGCATGTTCTCATAACTCACACTGAGCGCCTCGAAGGGGAGCCGAGCAGAATCCACTTAAGAAATCATTACTAATTCATAAGTTCCTCTACTGAGAACGTATCTCATTACAACTTTTTTTCTTTTTAAATCTCTCTTCTGCTCTCAAAAAAGCCAAATTGGGAAACATGAGGTATTATTGCTGATAATTCCCCAGTGTTGTTTAAAGCAGAATCCAGTAGATTCACTCAAATCTCCAAAAAGTTTAAAATGCTCACTTGTAAATACGGCTACTTCATTTTAAGAAAAGGAAACTGAACTTTATCGTCCCTCAAGTGTTGAAGACTAAAATATTTGTCCTTTCACTTTTGTTAAAACGTAGAGTCAGAGTAAAAAGAATTAAAGCTTCAAATGTGTAAAAATCACAGAGTTATAGAATTGCCCGTCTTGGAGTAATCGAGAACCCAAGATTTGCCCGAAATGTGTAAAACTCTTGAATTATTTTGCTTCTGGAAATATATATATAAAAAAAGAATCAAGGGAAAGCTTTTATTGTGAAAAAACAAAAATAAACAGTGAACAGTCATGAACAAGTCTATAAAAACACTTCAAACAAAACACAAGTAAAAAAGTGGTTTAGTAAAAGTAGTTTTTTTTTTACAGTTTCTTTTACAGCATATTGAATCTAAAACATTGGAAACATAAGGCTCTCAGATACAGTAAGATGCTAAAAGTCACAGTAAAAGGTTTTAGTGTCTTTTTAAGAGGCTAACTGGCTCACATGTCGTAGCAAAGACCAACAAATCGACTAGTTCAGATAGAAAAAAAAACACATTTATGTTGCTACATGTAACAGAGTAAATATGGGTCAACAGTGCAAAGTGATAAATGTCGACTGCAAAGTCAGTCTTTCAGAAACTTTTATACCCATTTCATGAGAACAAGGGTAGCAGTGCTCTTTAGAAAATGCATCTCAACATTACTGTTTCTAAACACTAGTGCAGCACTGTGCAAAAGTCTCAAACCACCAGGAGGAAAATTGTTTTTGATTCAAGACGTTGTGAAGATTGTTCAGTTTATTTCTTCGGACTTTAGCTGCTTCCTACAATCATTTTCAGACTAGTTTGTGCTTTTTCTTTTGGGTTGCTGGTACTGTTTTGCAAAACTTGTACACTGAGCAAGTTTTGTCTCATGTGACAGACAAAATAAAACAAACTGAAACTGGTTTCTTTAGGCACTTTAGGCCTAAAGGCAACCTGAAACAGAGACCCAGTCCTATTTGAATCTGAGAAAATACCAGTGAGGCATGAACCCAATGTAATCTCTCTCCCAAAGTGCATCAATTAAACATCATTCTGTGTCAAATCTTTGCTTCTTATTTGCTTATATTGGATAGGTTTAAAACTTCTGCACAGTTCTGTAGCCGCACAAGGCAACATATATGTAAAAACAAACAAACAAAAAGAAGAATGTGTTGGATGGATATACAGTATTCATTTATAATCTGTATCTGTCTTCATCTAAAATATGTTCATGGTCGTGATTCATTTTCTTTACTTTTATATAGCATTGGACTAATACTTTACAGATGTGTGCCTACATTCAGTCACTTTTTAAAATCAAAAGGTGGAGTTCGTTACCAGCTTTTTATCTCTCAAGGTGGATTAAATGATCTCAACTTTTGAGCATTCATATTTCTTCCTAAAAGGCAAACAAAATATAAAAAGACAGCATCATTCACATTCTGTTTTTCAGAGCTGCACCACATTCACCGGTATGAATCCTAAAGGCTCAGTTAGTCCAAGAAAATAGGTTTGTGGACGGTTACGCCTGATCCTCATGATCAGTATCCAGCTGACATTCCCAGCTTCCTGCTGTCCGACACTGCCGCTATGCAGCCGTCCTCCTTCTCCAAGGCGTTGACCACATTTAAAAAGAACGACCAGTTCCCAGGTTTGTGTCCAAGATGCGTAAGGCCTTTTATGACGGACTACAACGACACACAGCAGAGTTAAAATTAAATGAGACAAAAGTGCGACAAATACAATATGAAAATCTCCATATGAATCATAGGAAAGTCAATTATCTACAGCTCTTTACACACATATCGGCACACTGGTAAAGACATTTAGTCTTTTAATAAACTGAATTTATATTATAGTATCATCTAATACTGAAACGTTTTTCAAATTCAAAAAATGTCCTGTTTTGTACAGAATCAGCGGTGCAACGCTTATTAGCATTTCTGCTGTTATTACAAGACACTTTTTGTAATAACTATCACTCACAAAGTTGGATCTTCCGTCCCTCTTTGCATGATATCAAGCTTGTTTTTATGCTCTCTTATCTTCAGTTTACATCACAAAGTTTCCACGTGCTTTAAGTGTAGAAGTTCAGATAGTTACAGAAAAAAGATGATGTTGCCGTGAACCATTTCTGTGCTGATTTTGTTATATTTTGGACAGCTACACGCTTTCTTTTTTTCCTTTTTTTTTTGGCAGAGGCCACCATATGTTTAATTACAAACCTACATTTCCAGACATTAATGAGGCCACACTCTACAGGAGAAACCGGCCCACAGCATCACAGATCACCCTCTGTTTTTCATCCTCTAATTCAAAAGTTTAATCCTTCTCAAATCTGACATTTCCAGATAAAGTCCCAGTAGAGTTTAACAAACTGCATGTTTACCTTTGTGACAGTTTGACAAAGGAGATTAAATGACATCTAATCTCTGTTTTGGAGAGTTGGTGAAACTCCAGATAGGACTTTTTGCTGCAGCTGATGCTCTCCTAACTTTGTGCCCTGCCAAGCTAAATACGGCTGCTCCTCTGGATGGAGAAGTGATGCTCCATCAATAACACATAAATGTACGTTTTTTCCACTCATTGAACAGGGATGTTAAGTGTGGAAATCAATGTGAAACAGAAATTCACAGTCATGATGAAAATACGTCACCTGATCGAATCCTGGTTCAAAATTCACATCGTTCTTTGAATTGACGAAGATTATAGGAGCAGCAATAGAGTCTTTTAAGCTCATCCCCAGCCAGAGGCGGTTTATTAGAGACTGTTAGGAAAAAAGACACTTATTTAATCATATAAAAGCCCAAAAACAAACCAACACAGCAAGCAGTGATTTACCAAGGCCACTGATGTGGTGATCAGACTTCCTCCTGACCCTCCCATCACAAGGATCCCTCCAGATTCTTTCTCCAGTATAAGAGGAGTCATCGAGGACGGCGGCTGTTCACCTGCATGAGACGGATGACGACTCAGGATCAGTGAACATCGGACGGATTTGTCCTTAACTCTGTGGTCAGTTTTGTTTCTTTACCTCTCCTTATTGAATCGACTCTCCCACAAAAGTCGGCAAGCTCGTTGTTGAGGATGATCCCCGTTCGTGGAGAGTAGACGGCTCCTCCAAACCTGCAGAACCGCACAGCGCGATTAGGACTGTGACGTCACTTCGTGTAGATTTTGAAAATATAAATTATTTTTGTGCTCACAGCTGGTTTATGGTGCTGGTGGCCGAGACTGCGAGTCCGTCCGCATCAATGACAGAAACGTGAGTCGTTCCAAAGTTATCAGGCGAAGGCTTGTGGTTGAGATAATAGGAGTTATCATGTGTGCTATTCGAGGATATCAGCCTCGCTATGCGATCAGCGAACAAAGGATCAATTAAGTGATCAGCAATCTGAAAGAGCAACATAAAAAAATTAACACTTTTGTCCTTATTTTATTTTTACTGTTCAATTCATTGTTTTGAACTTTTAAAAGGGTTAATAGTGTGTGAAATATATTTTATTTTGTTTATATAAATCCATATAAAATATAAATCCATCTTCAGTCTGGCTTTTAGTTTCCAATCTAAAAGACCCGCTCAATAAGTTAGAATATATTTAAAAGTCCATTTATTTCAGGATCTTTATAAGTTAAACACTTTATGTATACTAATTACACTTACATGAATGTTTAAAAGCCTTTATTAGCTCATAGTTAATGAAAACATGACATTTAAAGTTAATATAATTACATCAGAACAATAAGAATATGTAATTTTAGACACAGAAATTTGGGCTTAATGAAAAGTATGTTTAATATTTCCTTAAAGGCTGTTTTTTTATTTTCAAAAGATACTTTTAATTTGACCAAAGAGACCGAATGGGACATATATTACAATTAATTGAATATATATTGTCCATCTACAATTTAATCCTGACAATTTTCTGTATTATTTTATGTTTTCAGTAATTTCTGTAAACATGTCTGATTTTTGTCCCCATTTTTTTTTCAGAATGAGTAATTAACTGAATAAAGAGTCAAAAACTCATTTTTATATGAAATACTATCAGAAGAAATAATCCCAGTGTACCAACCTTGCTGCTACTGTAGACAGGATCTCGAATGTTCCTCTTTTGTCCGTTAGCAAATTTAGCTGCCTCTATGTAACGATGGTACATCTGAATCTTCTTTTCACCAACCAGAGAGTCTGGCGTTAACGAGAACCCTTTGGGAGCAAGAGTTCAGGCTTTTAATTCTCCAAATGAACGCATTCAAAGAATCCCATCTGAGTTACAACAAAAGACGTGAAACCTTTCATGATTCTGAGAATGAAAGCTAGAAGCGGCCCCCCGGAAGGCGGCGGAGCGATGTGCATCTTATGATTTCCCAGAGAAACTGTCCATGGACTGTCAACCCGCACCCTGTAAGACTTCAGATCGTCCATTGTTAATGTTCCATCTAAGGACAAAAAACACATTTCTGTAAAGTCTATGTGCTTCTATTTTATTTGCATTATTAAATGACACAGCCTCACTTTGCCCAGGCCAATCTTGCACCAACCTGCGTCTTTAATGTCTTGGATTAAGTCAAGTCCAATCCTGCCAGTGTAAAAGGCTTTCTTTGCTCCTTCCTTTGCAACGATTTCCAAGGTTTCTGCAAGTTTAGAAAACTGCAGGGTGTCGCCCATTCTCAGGATCGTTTTGTTCTTGTTGCAAAAGACTTCGCTGAACAAAACGAAAGTAGATAAAAGCTGAAAATAGTTGTTACACAATACATCCCGACAAAAAGTGACCTGACTTGATGTTTAAATTGTTTTGTTTTGCTTAAATTCACAAAGAGCCATGCCCTGCACCGGCTTTGTGAAGAGGTGAGGTAAACCCTGGAAAGTTTTTCAATTAAAGAAAGAAAAAAGAACACCTATCCCTAACTTACAGCTACCATTACCTAATTCATACATTTTGTAGGAAAGTGAGAGGAAAAGAGCACACAGAGAAACTCTGAAAACCAGCATGCTCAATCCAGAGTACTGTGATGAAGCAGTGAAATGAAAAAATACATCACAATGCTCTCCAGACGAAAGAAATATGAACCTTCATCAGCTGCGCTCTGAGGTTTTGATGCTGTTATCCTTTGAGTCTGGTAATATATCTCATCTGTGATTTTTTTTCTTTTTTTTTTTTTGCATTTTGCTTTTTCAGTTCACAATGATTGTTTTTTACTTTTCTAGGAGCAGAATTAACATTTCTTGCAACCACAAATTCTTGACTTTGGTTCTTTTGTGCAAAAGCCTCTTACTGCTTTCCTCCCAGCACATCTTTATTGGAGATATTCCAGGTCAGCTCATGCTTGTCTCATTCATTCCAGAAAAATACATCAGAAATGCAAGTTTATGAGCCACAATTTCTGCCGTCAGGGACCCTAAACGTAATACTTGGATGTGATGAAGGTTCAGCACATTTCAGCTTTTCAATCACGTGTTTAAATGTAAGGCTTTTCTCTCAGGTCATTTTACTCCAAAGATTTAGCAGTAAAGCCTAAAATTAAGACTACCAGTTAAATGATTAAGTTAGATTGTGAATAGTGAATGCATAAATATTAAGGGAGAAATAATGCACAATTTTAGACTTCAAATTAGAGGATAAATGTATATGTAACTACATAGCAATGTGCTTTTTGGTATTCAGCCTAAAAAGGCAATACTTATTCAGAAGCCTAAGTTCTGCTTGAGTAATCAATACAAGATTCTACAAATTTACACTGGAGAATTGGTTTTATATGCTATGTACCTAATGTCGCTATTTAGCATCAGACCTGCATTTAGTCTAATACAACATTGAAATGAATAATCTCCAATTAGGAGTCTGAGTAATGACAAAAAAATTAACATAAAAAGAGGGATAAATGGCTGAAAGAACACTAGATATTTACTCAGATTACTTCTGCATGATGATTAGAAACACATAAATGAGACAAAAGTGTGAAACGGGCAAAAACTTTCCTCACAAAAGCCTCCCCTTGCTTCTGAGATGAAAGCATCTCTTGTTGCACAGAGGAGTGAATCACTAAGCGACTGACTCCTGAGCCCACCTTTTCCCATCAGTCTGAACAAACCCTCCTCTGGACGCAGCCTTCATAACCTTAGAGCAACGTCATGGAAACTTTGGACGACTATAATCCAAAACTTTTGCTGGCCTCTTTCCTAGCACTGCTGCTACATAAAAATTGTGCCGAGTCAGAACACCATTGAGTAACTGCTCCAAACAGCTGAAATTCATCATCAACAGAAAGCAAAGCATGTCACCAAAGTTTAGCTTCGATGAAAAATATTTTGCAATAAGATATAACGTTTTTGAGTGGGGTTTATGAGGAAAGGTGCAGCATATTTTGTCTAAATCAGTCCTTTTCACAGTCAGGCTTAAGTGAAAATAGAGGTTAAGAGGTAAAGAGCAACAATCAGTCAATTTTAACTGGTGGTTATGCAAGTTGTTTTTGATTTAAAAGAATTGGAGATTTAAAAGAGAGTTTCCAATGAGTTCATTTCTTTTGCTGAAACACATAATTTTACTGTAACTTCTGTACGTTTCATCTGCACTAGTCATTATAAATTCTTGAAACTTTTTAAAACCTCTTTCTCTGAGATGCATGTGTGAAATTTTACCACAGAGATGACGTTTCCACATACGCCTTCACTATCTTGTGGGTCATAAAGCGAGCCAGGTATGGTGGCAAGGGGATTCCTTCCCTGGCCAGTTTAATGGTTGGCTCAAACAGTTTGGACCAGGACAACTTCCCGTACTCTCTGTGCAGGGCTTCGTAGCCCAGCAGCTCCCCGGGAACGCCAATCCACTGACTACCTGCAACGTTGAGGAGGAAAATGAGGAAAAATAATATTTTGGAAGCTTAAAATGTGAAGACATCTTACCTAAAAACAACAAAACAATGAACTGTAGCTTTTACACAAAACAATATTCATAAAAAAGAAACATTTTTCAGTTGCAATGAGTTTAATTTAAGGTTTCTTATTGTAGACATGCAATTCTGATCAGGGTTCTTATTCATCATTGACATAAATGTCATATTAATTTGGGGTTTTTAATGATTTATTTGAGCCATTCTTTTTGAGGGGGGATAGATAATAATAAAAGAATTGGAATAAAGGATTAGACGGATCAAATCACACCTGTTTACCTAAAGCTCTCCTAGTAAGTTGTTCCTTCCTCAAAAAGCTTTTGATATTACTCAGGAACAACATATATATCTGTTTATATAACATATTTACCTGCTTATATAGCAAATCGACCATTTGCTATATAAATAAACTTGACTTGCGTACGTGCAAGACTTATTCCAAATCGTATTAAAATTAATTGCTTTCCTCAAAATTCAACACACAAATACCCAATTAAGACAATATGGAAACATTTTTGAGTATTTTGCAAAGTTGTAAACAGAAAACCAAGAAATCACATTTACGTAAAAACTTTGCTGAGTCATCTTTGGCAGCAGTCCCTTTTTGAATATGATGCCACAAGCTTTGAACGCGCATGTTCGGGCCGTTTGGTTCATTCATCTTCGCAGTCCATCTCCTGCTCCATCAGGTTGGACGGAGACATCTGTGCAGCCATTTTCAGGTCTCTCCAGAGATGTTTAATGAGATTCAGGCCTTGACTCTGGTGTGGCCATTGCAGCACATTCACGCAGTGACGCCTGGCATCCACATCAAAGAGTTCAATCTTTGTCTCATCAGGCCAGAGAATTTCGTTTCTTGTGGACTGAGAGTCCTTCAAATGAATTTTGGTAAACTCTAGACTATCATGTGCCTTTTATTAGGGAATGACTTTCATTTTGATGCTCTAACAGAGATTTTCCTGTATTCTTTTCAGTTCCTGCTGCAGGACAATCCTGTCTCTGTGGTCTACAGAAAGGTCCTTTGATTGCTTGGAGTTTGACCTCTGACCTGATGTCAACTTTGTCTTTCAAATTAAATCTAGTCAACTGAATTTTCCACAGATCGTCTCCACTTATTTTATAAAAAACATCTTAAGGAGGATCAGTGGAAATGAAGGTTGTAAGCGTTTATGTAAATATGATTTCTTGGTTTGCTAATTTTAATAAATATGCAAAAGAAAAGAAAAACAGCTGTGTAAAAATATTCTGGATGTCCTGTACATTAAATAAATTAGGAAAACAAACAAAACAAAAAAAGTCAAAAATCGGACAGTGTAGCAGATGCAGCTTACCTGCGGACAGTCCGAATTTAGTGGGACAGTCTTCTAACAGAGAAGGTTTGAATGACTGTGGGGTTGACTCTCTGAAGTTGTAAACTTTAACATTGCCTGGGAATAAATGAGAAAATAGAAGATAAACAAACCCAAAATATATTTTTTGTGATTCAGTCTGAATCTCTTGTGA